TTATTAATCCTCAAATTCGAAACGCACAGTGACTTCAAGACTTGAGGCCGTTTCACATGTTGTGCGAAAACAAACACAAACGCAAATTAATGAGGGCAGGGCAGCTCAAATATTCGCGCTGCGAATTATCGACAGATGAACACCTGTCAACTCGCCAGCAGTTTCGCTGCAAATCTTTCTTTCGTGACATAAAATTCGCTTCGCTTTAACGTTCGCCTGTATAATAATTATGGCCGTGTCTGAATCACTTGGCCACGGCTTGAAATTACACACGAGTCTATGGTAGTGGCCGCGGCCAGTTCTCGTAGAGTTGTGTGTAATTTCCGGCCGTAGCCAAGTGTTTCGGACAAGGTCCATGAACCGACCTTTATACGTTTGTTTTTTGTAATAAACGAGGAAAACTTGGGAAAGATCAATAGGGGAAGTTGAAGGAATGCATGGAACGCATGTAATTCCTCTCTGAAAGTTCCTCATTTTCCGGGTAGAAAACACAAAAATCATACTGAACTTAGAAGCTCAGCGGAAATCTGAAAAAGCAACACTTTCACTGTACTTTGCTTGCTTGTTCTTCATCATTTGAGCAGAGAGAAAGACTGACCAAACTTACATCGTATGCAAGGCCCCAGAGTGCCGGTCGGCCGATGAACACGGCCCGTGCGCCGAGAGCAAGAGCCTTGAGGACATCGGTGCCCTGACGTATTCCTCCGTCGAGATACACCTCGATATCAGAGCCACGCACGGCGTCGACCACCTCGGGCAGTGCGTCTATCTGCGATGGACAATTACAGGAATCCTGCCATTTTTCAAGGCCTCTCTGGTTTTGATGACTCTAACGTCTTACAGTTCTTTGGTATCATTATGATGGTGAAAATTTATTTGAAAAATGATCGACATGAACAGTCTTTGCTTTCTTGAACGCGGATTTCATGAAAATCTTAACCCGTAACGCAAAAAAACCCCAGGGCAGTCTCCCATATTCGGCCCTGTTTATACCTCCACAACCAACTCGTATAATAATGACACATTTTGTACGGTGATTTCAACTAAGATCAAAGCGCTTTCTGTTCATTGCTCCCCTGCTCATTGGGCCCATAAAAACATCGAAAATACCATCTCAGCTCCCTGGGGAATATACAGCTCCATACAGCAATTTCGGCGCACAGCAGCTAAATCAAACACAACAGCTATCTCTGCTCTCACTGGTACCCAATTACTCCAGGGTGGGGGAAAGCAATGAGTGGATGACAAAGTGCCTTGCCTAAGGGCATGCGCAACCATGACACCATGCTGGACTCCAACCCGCAACCCTGTGGCTTTATATGCCCGCCGTTTACGAATTACCACGAGATTGCAGCACTACCGGCCACAACGAGGCTGCGCCTGCTTCTCACGGTCACGTGATTTGGTGTGGCAGGCTCATTTCACATTTACGGCAGCTATAGTACACAGCGCCATGCTCTCAAATTCAAAGGGTTTCCCCCCGAATTCCTGGCTTCCTAACGTGGAATCCATTGCGGAGCGTTCGCTGAAGCTGAAATTCGTCAAAAGGCCCACAGTGACCGTAAACACTTTCAACATTTTTACCGAAGCTGACACACCGTCCAGTAGTCGGCCACCGTGATTCGAAACCCAGATAGCGGACGCACCACGCCTGACTGCTTCCTTCGCGTCTTCAGCTGCAACGTGGAAATTGATACCAATTCGTAAATTATACATTTCGTGCACATCTTTCAAGACATTTCTCCACACCAACCTAAGACTACAGGATGCGGTTGTAACCTGAAAGATAACGAGAGAACTTTTAAAAATTGGGCATTGGAAACTTTGGTCCATTACAAGGATATTATCGTGGTGCAAAATGTCATAATGATTAACTCACCCGTTAGAATGCCTTTAAGAATGATTGGTAGAGAGGTCATACTCCGTAGCCATTCAATGTCATCCCAGGTCATTGAAGGGTCAAAGGTCACTTTTGCACGACTAAAATGAGGATCATTGGGAAGAGAGACAAGCGCGAATCTGCAAAACAAATAAATGTCTGCATTGAGCACTGTTCAGTCAGAGCCAATTTTACACATTTCGTCACTATGCTCATGATTTTATCGCCCTCATAATGGCGCGCACTGCGTTTTCAGCTATGCTTTCCCTTGGTAGTTGATCAAGCGCTCTTTTTTTCAATCTGAGTTTGTGCCCATTGCAAAGAAAAACGGACACAGCCATGTCAATATGGCTTTGAACGTTGAGAACCAAATCAAAAGGTAACAGTCTCGTGCACCAATAATGACCACGGGAAGATCAACCACCATTGTGGTTTATACTTATGACTGATTATAATCAAATCATATGCAGTCCCCTTCCATTGTTGGAAAGGCGACAGTGATATTTTGCCTCCCCTAAAGTGGCCATGATTTGTGTAATTAAACCCGATAAACCTTTACAATGTACGCCTAAATGCTAAGATATTGTCATACCCGACTGACATTTTCTGCCAAGAATCATGTCTCTCAGGTACTAATTAATTCCATGATGATTCCTTCGTATCTGTCTAGTGGAACGTACAACAGTTCGTCACCTTGACGGTAATTGTAAAAGAAAAACAAAGCATTGTCGATAGCGGGGATCAATTCAAGCCACGGGTTCAAACCCGCCGTGCCGTGCCCCTCTCAAGTTCTTAACTGTAACTGGTATATGTATTTATACACGTAGGCCTACTTGGTGAAGTATCCCACAATTCAACGTAAAAACATGGTAGCTTACTTGAACTATGTGAAGGAAAGTTGATGCCTTTGAAAATAGTCCAGACAGACCGGTTAAAATGCTAGGTCAAGTACATGTAATGTGAAATAATGGACGGATACTTGGATGGGTGTGTAGATGCCTTGTTGTCGAGAGTTCGAATTTGTATTACACATTTCATATCTCTTTTGACCCAGTTGGGATGTGCTTTCAACACGCTTTTCACGATGCTCCTTACTATTAGTTTGATAGCTGCGAACGAGTTTTAAACCTTTTGAAATGTTCTCTCGGCGTTGAAAATCAAGGGAAGCATTAATTGATCAAGTTTTGTATATGAAGTGTGTACCGCAGCCGTAATGATGAACAGCATGTGCATGTATACTTACTTTAAAGAAGGGGGTGCGACAGCTGGTTCAGCTAGCCGCCTGCCCCTAACTGGCTGATCGACCGTCAGCACAATGCCCTTCAAGCCTGCCTTCTCGGCTCGTTTTATTATGTGCTCGGTGTACTCGACTGTTCGCTCCAAGGTTTGATGGTCGCAAAATACGTTCAGTTGTTGGAATAGCGGTGTTTCGGACGAAAGGGGGGCGGCTACGTCTTCCAAGTCTCTGCTTGAAAATATGCTCAGAGCCATTGCTGACCCAACACTAGCCACGCCTATAGAAGTAACGATTTCAGATTAAGGCTATGTGAAATAGAACGACGTTACGGATGAACTTTTCAACTAAATCGACCAGGGACATTCATTTCTCATACCACAGTCGTAGTGTGTTGGTTCTTGACAAGACACAACTTTTTTTCACATATGCAAATCTACGCATAAATGAATAATAATCAGGTATGAGGTATGATTAACACAAGTAAATTGATTTGTATTATCCAGATGAATATGCATATTATGCAGATGAAAAATGTTAAGGGTTCCTATTGCTTTACATTATACAAGATTCTTTTGAAGGCTCAACAGCGGCTCGTTTTCACGGAGGTCAAAATTATTTGATAATTATGGGCGGGGCATGCAGTGCATGTGCACAAACGACAGCTGCTGAATGATTATACACGGTCCTACAGGCCATGTAATTTCCATAGCAGTTCTTGTAAGTATTCTTTGGGTCCCATAGTTTGTTTCATTTTCGACGTTTGTGGCGTCATTCTCCGGAAATTTCCTTTTACTCCACTTTAGGCAAATTAATTTTGACTTTCCACGAAGAAAAATACGATGGCTTCCGAGGAAGAAACCTCTTTTCTTACACTAAAGTTTTGATATTTTACTGTTATTAATTTTATTTTGAGTTTTTGATCCGTTGTCGTTTCGTCCTTGACAGTAATTTTTCTTGCATACATATTCAATGAGCAAACCGATCACGTGATTAACTTCCCAAACCCTTAAAATAACCAGTGATTTTTCTGCAAGGACCCCATATCGAAAGTGCTCTATTTTGTCAGGGAAAGCGGGGGGGGAATTTCAATGCTGAAAAAGGTGCGATTTTCAATGAGTAACCAACAACAGATGTCCCAAATAGTTTTCAACAGCTGAATGGAGTAGAAAAATTAGTTTTCCGAGTAAACTTGACATCAAGGCCCTTTAGAACTTCCATCCCATTTCCTTCCTTCTTCCAAAAAATCTCAGAAGTACCACTAATACGTAAAACTGAACAGGCCTATTCTGTCATTTTGAAAACATAAGTAGGCCTGGAGAATTTCTGTCTAGCACCGTGCCCGTGTCTTACCTTTAGCCATAGCAATTTCTCCCTCGGGATGCACCATGCCCTGATAGGCTGTCGGAGAGACACCGATCGGAAAGTCTAGACGATGGCCCAATATAGTGGTACTGAGGTCCCGCTGAGATACATCCCGCAAACAGCGAGGCCTTAGTCGATACCTGCATCGAAGTTGGAGGAAAAATATTGAAAGAAGGAGTGAAATTTAAGTTTTGTGATCCACGCATCCAAGAAATGATTTAAACTGGTTCATATCCCGAAATTATTTTTTTAAATGGCATGAAATTTAAAAACAGAGCAGAATTCCCGACACAATGTAATTCAATAAGCCCCTGCTGTATGGATGATGTTGTTTACATTTGCACTTTAATAAAAAAACCTTTGTCAAGGCGAATCCTCATGAATAGTTTCCCGCACTTGTGGGCTAGCTTCGTGCAGCGGCTAGCTCGCGTGTGCAGAAATAAAGAAAAACATATGGCTTTGCGCGGCCACCGTGATAGGGATATCCGCCGAGCCTTAACTAGGGACCCTCTCGCCAGAAAATATGTCTGACGTAACTCCGTAATGCGATGCTGATTAATAAGGGTGTGTATGAATAAACGTATGCGTGGCGCAAATAGCCTGACTAGCTGAAAAGCACCATTAAAACAAAACAACATGTCTGACGTCAAAGCCTAACCAGGAACATGTTTAAGTTGACCAGCAAAACCGCAAAGCCAGAAACGCTTACATATCCCACAGAGAAAAAAGAAAGAATTAATACTCATTGTTAAGAAATACCATTTTTGCTCAATATTCGGTAAATTCATTGACTTCTGCTGCTCTCTTTATTCACATTTTTGGAAGAAGATATACACTTTGGTTTGTTGCATGACCGCAACAACGAATTTCGGGTTATTTAGGAGGCTACTAAAAACTGCCGATTGCTTATTTTCTGTCATTTTGAAACGGCGATGGACCAACTCCAAACTTTGGTCTAGTCACGAAATCTCAAACTCAGCGAAGTACTGTTGAGATAAGACCCGTAAACAGGGCACGACGTGAACTCCTCCGTCATATACTGGGCCTTGTCCCGATTCATAGGGATTTCTTTCGAAAAATTTTATCCGGGATATCCTAGGGCATAACTAAACATCCGCTTGATTTTATGAGCAGAAATTGCACTGGTATGTTCACTCTTTACGGGGTAAACTATGTTGCCTTTTTGTTGCCGTTTTCCCAATCCGGACGAATGCACAAAACTGACGGTTATTTCGTTACTCTCGTGTCACGTTACAGAAAGCGAGCCGCGCTACCAATGATCATTACCGCAAACATTGTGTGACTGGACAGTGAAACAGCCAAGGGCGTTGCGTAGTAGCTACGACACAAAACAGCCATAATTTCCCACAACTACTTAGATCGAGAGGTACTCTCGCAGATTTGAACGAAATTGTTAAGTGCTGAAGTCTGGGTGCACTAGACAGGCTCTTGTACACGATACCCATCCACTTAACCATAAAAAGGAGTCTGTAAAATGGCAGAACAATATTCAAGTTAGTTTGCACAAGTGGGTTAAAATTTGTCCAGAGTGGGAAACAGCAACAAAAAGGCAACATTTCGTCCTCCAAACGAGGAAAAGGAGACTTTTCTGCAATTCGGGGATAGTTTACCCCGTAAGTAGTGAACATACCGGTGCAATTTCAGCTTATAAAATCAAGTGGATGTTTATTTATGCCAGGGATATCCCGGATAAAATTTTTCAAAAGAAATCCCTAAGAATCGGGACAGGGCCCAGTACGTGACGAGTGCGGAGGATCTAGGAGTACACGTTGGGCCCGCTTTACGGGTCTATTTAGAGATACGTTTTTAGCATTGGAGGAATGTCGCAAAAGCACTACCGTATACCCTCCCCTTGCTATGACCTGAACATCAAGCAGCTAGTACGCCGGGTCGCTGTCACGGTTCGGCTTTATTCATACATCGGTTGTGAGTACAGCCACCGTGACACGTAAATAGCCAGCGAGTCACATCAGTAATCATGCAGATGGCTAATTTCGACGAACGGAACGATCCATTTCAAAGGTCCAACAAGGAATTACTTTTGAAAAGCTAGTAGGTTGTCAGCCAAAGTCTGTTGGGCGTCTGCTCCCCGTTGGAAGTACTCCCACCACGTCCCAGGGACTTTTTTCTTCAGATACGGCTCAAAGTCCTGCAGAATGAGCGGTTTTGATGTCATGATGACGTGTCAAAACGAGCTCAAAGCCCAGAGTACACTTCGATCGTCCTACGGTCTATTTGGATCCAATTGTAGGCCTAGATCAGTACTGTTGCAGCGAAACAAACTGGAAGTTGTCGGTGATCGAGCGTCACTGGAAATAATCGCCGTGAGGTCATGTGGAATGGTCTGTGTTATACTATGGAGAAATGTGTTTTTATTCCTCCATGGTTAAACATGTACACTTGTCGTTGACGGTCGTTTTATGACTGCCAAAATAGTGAAATACATGTACATGTATCACCCTGTGGATGGACACGGTCTGGGTACCGCCGGAGCTGTATTTCACTGAGCCCCAACTCGAACTTCGGAACCAAACTGGTCGGTCATCTCATCTATAGGCCAGGCAGTCTGTGTACATGTACTTTGTGCTTAACTGTCCATGTGCACTGACGCACGCTTAACATCCACGTCACGCATGTCCACTAGTCTTGGCCCAAAACGTCAATAATCAATTTCTGTGAACATTTAACGGCCGGATGCCCTGATGTACCGACGACACATCGATGATATTGTTGGTGCCATCACCGGTACGTGTGATGACGTTGTGAATTTCATAGCGTTTGCGGATGCTTTTCACCTAGCACTGGCTACACATCTGATGTGTAGTAACACTCTGTCATACCTGTTATACACATTTTCATTTTTGAAAAGCAACAGAATGAAAATCTTGACAAAACTGTCCAATGTTTAAATAATATGAGTTTGATTTACTACTTTTACATTTCCATGTGTTAGAGTTTGTTTCAACCATTAAATGGTTTACATATCGTTGTCATCTTCTGCACAACCTCTAAACTGTGTTTTATATTTTGTAGTGTTGAACAGATATTTATTCGTGAAAACTATCTGTACTTTGAAAAATTAAAAAAAATTACGTCAGTGCTCTTTGGATCAGTCATTTATGAAAATCGATCATGTTCTTGTAAAAACATCAAGCTTCAAAGTTTTTCCTCACAAACACTGGGAATCTATTAACCTTTCCTAAACCTTTAAATTTCTCATTATACAGGGACAACTTTCCAGAGTTACCAGGAAGGTAAATGTACAGTTAGTGACTGTATATTTAATCCTGTTTGAAAGAAGAAATTAATTTGATGAATCTTACAACCCGAGAAGTGTGTTTGAATGCCCGGCTTATCTCATTTTAAAAGATGCATGTAATGTGCCAGAATAAATTCTTTGCCTTGCAGTACATGTTTACAAAATGAGATCAATTCTGAACTATGGATAAGGGGTGTATATATATATATGTATATTTATATGCACATTCTGTTCTACGCAAGTTGAAGTTTTCTATCCGGTTCGTAAGTGACTTCGTCACAAAGGCGGACGCGCCACGATTCGCCGGCTCCCATTGGACGATCGCAGAAGTTAAGTTGCGCGTTAACTTTCGGTTCCATGGTTCCACATAAACGGCGATCAATGCATTTAATTAACGCTATGTGAGGTGCACGTGTGCAGTGGGCGTGGTTTAAACTGAAGTGACATGGAACGTCACTAGGCCTAGGCCCCTACAGTACTTCTTGTGCACATGCTTGCCACGCAAAGAAAAGCTTGAACTTCGACATATTGACCCTCACATGGCCTGGCTTTGTGCCACGACACTTGCTGAAGTTAGACTACGTGAATCACACCCCGAAATCTCTTTTTTCATCATCCGGTAGCTAATCGTGGCAAACATTGTTGACATGTCGTCTAATACTGACGGAAAACACGCACGTTAGACTTACAGGTCTCATGTTACTGTTTATCTGCCATGTTAGAGTACACATTTCAGAGCTAATAATATCTCCTTTAAAAATGATTGCCGTTTTTTACTCTTTTCCGAAAACAACAAAGAAGAAGATTAATCCTTCTTATTTTAGTCCTGATTATAGCATACACTACTACTAATTCTGTCTTGTTAAAATCAGTCAAAAAATATGATATGCGATGAGGCGATGGGAGCAGGAACGCTGTCGGAGAGGAAGTTGATTTGATGAATCTCTAACCCGAGAAAGTGTGTTTGAATGCATGGCTTCTTTCATTTTGATAGATGCACGCAATGTGCCTGTTGCAAACTGCTTTGGTGAAGCGCGCCCTTTCCGGCCAGATTGCTCGCAGCGCAAGCGCCACGTTTCCCCCCAGATGTCGGGAGGTGGATTGGATGACTGATTTGAGTGATGGAACTAGTACCCGTAGTATTTTAATCACCTCTGAGTTATCCACCAACCAAACTGACATCTCATGTATTGCGGGCGGCCATGACCACGAAATAGAGTTATATGTGAACGATGCAACCAATGAATATTGGCCTCAATAGTCTTCAGTGCCAGAATAAATTCTTTGCATTGTAGTACATGTTTAGAAAATGGGAACGATTCTGAACTATGGATACATGTAAATATCTTTATATGCACATTCTGTTTTATGCAAGTTGAGGTTTCCTA